CCCCAGCGCGCTGCTGACCTCGGCCGCGCCCAGCGGGGGCTCCCTGCTGGCCTCGCTGTCCCCGCAGCAGCTGAACCCCGGCGGGGCCCTGCTGGCCCCCCAGGCCACCCCCCCGCTGGGCTCGGGGCCGGCCATGGCCCCCAACCCCTTCCTGAGCCTGCAGCCCGACGGCAGCACCCCGAAGGGAACGGTGGGTACGGGGCTGGCACGGGCCTGGCTGGGGACAGGCTGGGGCAGGCTGGGGTGGGATGGGGACAGGGTGGGGACAGTGTGGGGACAGCATGGGGATGGTCTGGGGACAGCCTGAGGACAGCTGGGGACAGCTGGGGAGAGACACATTCCTTCCTCCTCCAGTCCTTGTCCCCCAATCCCAGTCCCCCCAATCAATCCCCATCCCCCCAGTCCCTGTTCCCCAATCCCGTCCCCGCAATCCGTGTCCCCCCTGATCCAGCCGTGTCCCCGTTTGTCCCCGCAGCCCCTGGGTGACAAGGGCGCTCCCCTGGCGCAGGACAAGGGCTAGGAGCCCCGCGGCCCTGAGCCCGCAGCCAACCCTCTCCCGGGGACCGCGGCTTCCCCGCGGCACCGGCGGAGCCCGGCGCTCCCAAGGAGCGGCCCAGGAGGAGCCTCGGGAGCCACAGCGGCCGTCACCAAGCCCCGGTGCCACCAGGAGCCAAGGTGGCATCACCTGTCCCCTGCTCCACGTGCCAGAGCGAACTCCAGTGGATCCTGCCGGGAGCGTGGGGAGCCGCCGGGGCACCAGAGACCCCCAGAGCCTTGGGGAAGGACGTGGTGGCGCTTGGGCAGTGCCCAAGGGTGTGGCCCTGGATGTGGCACTGCCAGGGGAGGACGTGGTGGCACTTGGGCACTGCCCAAGGGTGTGGCACTGCCAGGGAAGGACGTGGTGGCGCTTGGGCAGTGCCCAAGGGTGTGGCCCTGGATGTGGCACTGCTGGAGAAGGGACATGGTGGCACCTGGAGCTGGCCAAGGTTGTGGCCCTGGATGTGGCACTGCCAGGGGAGGATGTGGTGGCCGTGCCCAGATGGGGACATCCAGAAGAATTCCCAAGCTGAGGTTTCCCTGCTTTTCCCGCTGGGCTTTGCTCCAGCTGGCGGCCGATCCAGCCTGGAAGGACAGATGGATGAGGATGGACAGAGGTGGGCAGGAGGTGGCACCACCTGGGAGGACGTTGTCACCTGTGCCAGCTGCCGGAGGGACGGGGCTGTCCTTCCTTCCCAGAATTCCCAAAGGCCGACGTCTGAGCTGGAAAAGGTGCCACAGCCGGGATTGTCCAACGTCAGAAGGAGCTCCTGGACCTGGGAGAGGATTCCTGGACCTGAGTTTGGAGATGAAAATCTCTGTGGGGAGGAGAATCCCAAATGTGGTCCCTGTGTTTTCCCGCCCACCACAGATCATTCCCACAAAACCACATTCTTCCGCTGGGCCTGGGAAGAGGGATCTCCAAGGAATGGGACAGTGACCACAGTCCTGAGCCTGGCATGGCAGAACTTCCATCGCTTTCCACCTTTTGACCTTGATTCCATCTTCAGCCTGGAATATCCACCAGGAATCGGCTTCCTCTGAGCTGGTATGGAAGGAAGGAAGGAAGGAAGGAAGGAAGGAAGGAAGGAAGGAAGGAAGGAAGGAAGGAAGGAAGGACAGTCAGGGCAGCTCTGGGAAGGGGACCACCAGCACCAAACGCACCAACGCCCCTCCTTCCCTCATCCCTGGGTACATCCAGAGCTCCTGGGAATGCTCCAGCTGACGGAACCTCCTTTGGGAGAGCCACAGATCCCAGATTCTGGGACCTCTGAGCCGTGTTCAGCGCATCCCCACTGCCCTTCCTGCTTTGCACTATTCCCGTTATCAGCAGTGGGGCTGCGCTGATCGTGCTGGCAAAGCTCGGCCCAGGCGAAATCCTCCACTGAATTTCCTTTTTTAGTGTTTATTTTATTTTATTTTATTTGGTTTTTTTTTCCTAAGATTCACACCATGAAGGTTGTCTAAAAAAAACAGAGAAAAAAAATAATACCAAACTGTTTCTGCTCCCAGCTTGGAGCTCTGAACTGGGCAGAGCCGCTGGCTGCTCAGAAATAGAAATATATATTAAATATATAATGGGATTTATCTATCCAGAGGTTATAACGAGCTTAGGAAGCTGTTGGGGAGCCCCATTCTTTGGGATCCCCGTCCCCAAACCCACTCCAGGCACAATTCCCTTCTTGCACTTTGAAATTCCTTTGGATTTTTCTGTTTTTCCCCCCACTCCGAGCTGGGTCTTCCCCCTCCCTCGGCACCCCTGGAGGTGCCACCCAAAATCCTCCTGGCACGGGGACACCCCTGGCACGGTGACCGCAGGTCCCCCCCACCTCCCCCCTGAGAAGCCTTGGGCATGGCAGCGATGGTGAAAGCAAATTTAGTCCCAAATTGGGGCTAAAATGCGGAATTTCAGGGCTGTCCCCCGGCCTGTTTTGGTGTGTGGTGGCTGTGCCTGCCATCCTGCAGATCCTTGGGATTTGGGAACAGCCAAAGCCCAGCTTTGGGCCAGAGGGAGGATGGGCAGGGGGCTCTGCCAGCTGGGCGTGGCCAGGAGTTGGGGTTTATTTTATATTTTATTTTATTTTATTTTATTTTATTTTATTTTATTTTATTTTATTTTATTTTATTTTATTTTATTTTATTTTATTTTATTTTATTCTTCTTTGCTTTTTATCACAAATCCCAAATCCCTGCATTGCCCCGGGATTCCAAATCCCTGTGGTGCTCCCCGCGGCCTCCAGCTCCATTTGCAACCCCAAAGACCCCAAAGTTGTGCCCAAATGTCCCAGTTCTTCCAAAATCCAAAATTCCTGGGGATCTGGAAGGTGCAAGGAGTGGGGAGAGGGGGCTGGGAAGGGAATTAATCTCCCAGGAAACCCAAAATCCGTGTTGGGATCGCCCCCGATTTGGGGTCGGTGCCCAAATCCCTGGACAAGCTCAGGACACCAAAGGGGTCAGTGAGAGGCACTTGGGGGTGAATCCAGAGGCTGGAAATGCTGGAATTGGCTCCTGCTGGGGGGGCCAGGCTTTGGAAGAGGAAGGAAATCCAGGAATTTGGGGTTTTTTTAGGCAGGATCACAACCAGGGGAGCTGGATCCCTCTGGATCTCTGGGAATTCCGAGAGGTGGATCCAGGAATTCCCAGAGCTGGATCCCTCCAGCTCCCCAGGAATTCCGGGATTTGGGGTCACAGACAGAAAGCACTTACACCTCTCCCTGTGCCCAACCTTTCAAAGGCTCCCAACCCCGGGAATTGTCACCTCCAGCCACCCCAGATGTCCCTTGGGCAGAGTGAGGAGAAGGAGCTGGGAAATTCCAGGTGAATCCCTGTGGAAAAAAAAAAAAAAAAATGGGAGAGCAGGGGGAAGGGCAAGGAGGAAAAGGAAAAGCTAAAGATGATCCGTGTTTCAGTTGCACTGGGGTACGTTTCTTTACCCGTTTTGATGCTCTCATTTAGGATCGTTGCATGTGTCCTTTTGTGGTTTTATCTTTATTTTATTTGGGTTTAGGTTTTTTTTTGTTTTGGTTTGGTTTGTTTTTTGTTTTTTGGTTTGTTTTTTTTTTTTAATATTAAATGAAAGAGAAAAATGTGTATATTTTTGGCAATTTAAGGTAATGTAGCTAAGATATATTTTTTTCACGCTGCTTGACTGGTCTTTATTATAATAAATAATATTAATATTAATTGCGAGGAGGTTTTTAATAAAGATAAGGGGGGCAAATTTAAATGGGAATGGGAATTCCCTGCCTGGTGCTGGAAATGTGTGGAGGAATCCGAATCCAGGGATGGTCCCAGAATGCAGGAGGTGGGAATGATTGGGAAAAGGAGGGTTTTTCCAAAAAAACCCCAATGATGGCCCCCATTGAATCCCAAATCCTCGTGCTGTGCTGGTGAGCAGCTCCTGAATCGTCCTTTTTTCAAAGGATTTATTCCCTGGAAGCCTCAAATCCACAGGCTCGTGCTGCCCCTGCTTTGGCCCCTTTCCTGCCCAAAATCGGGTTTGGAGACGTGGGAAAAGCCACTCCCAGCCAGGATTCTGAGAATTCCCACTGGAAAAGCCGTTCCCAGCCAGGATTCTGAGAATTCTCACTGGAAAAGCCGTTCCCAGCCAGGATTCCTGGAACTGCCATTGAAAAAGCTCTCCCAGCCAGGATTCTGGGAATTTCCAGGGTCGAGGCTGAAGGCCCGGGGGGCTCCAGGGGGAAAACTGAGGCACAGAGAGGGGGGACGTGCTCCTGAGCCAGGTGTTCTGCCCGGGAAAGGGAGCGGCACTGGGATCAGGAGAGACTGGGATGTGGGGCAGTGGGAGTGGGCACTGGGAATGGGAACTGGGACCGGGATTGGGAACTGGGACCGGGATTGGGAACTGGGACCGGGATTGGGAACTGGGACTGGGAACGGGAACTGGGACTGGGATTGGGAACTGGGACTGGGATTGGGAACTGGGACTGGGATTGGGAACTGGGACTGGGAACGGGAACTGGGACTGGGATTGGGAACTGGGACCGGGATTGGGAACTGGGACCTTGCACTGGACTCGAGCACTGGACCGGGACCGGGGCACTGCGAGTGGCACCGGGATTGGGCACAGGGACCGGGCACCGGGACCGTGCAGTGCGATCGGGAATCGTGACTGGGACCGGGACCGGGATCGCCACTGGAATGGAGCACCGGGACCGGGACCAGCTCTGGGAACGAGGACCAGGATCGCTCACTGGGAGCGGGAACCGGAGCGGGATCGGGCACCGTGACTGGGAGCGGGACCCGGCACCGGCACCGGGACCCGGCACCGGCACCGGGACCCGGCACTGAGATCGAGCAGCGGCACCGGGCCCGGGTGCCGGGGGCGGCGGCGGTACCGAGCCCCGGAACCACACGCCAGGAGCGCCCCCGGCCCGGCCCGGCCCCGCACGGAGCAGCCGCGCTCCCGCCGAGTCCGCCCGGCTCTTCCGGCGGCGCCGGGAGGAGGAGGAGGAGGAGGAGCCGCGCGGGGAAGGTCACCGGGAGTGACACCGGGAGCGGCACCGGGACCATGCTGCGGCCCAGACCGGCCGCGCTCCTTCCGCTGATGAAGGCGGCGGGGGGCGGCCGCCGGTGCCGGGAGCCCGCGGGCGGGGCGCGGGTCCCGTCGCTCTGCTCCGCGCCGCCCCCGCAGCCGGTGATCGCCGCCAAGGAGCCGTTCCCGGTGGAGCTGCAGGCGGGGAAGACCTACGGCTGGTGCGCCTGCGGGCACAGCAAGCGCCAGGTCGGGCCGGGGGGCTGGGGGAACCGGGGGCGTCCGGGAGAACCGGGAGGGTCCGAGGAACCGCGGGGGTCCGGGAGAACCGGGAGGGTCCGGGAGAAGCGGGGTGTCCGGGAGAACCGGGTGAGTCCCGGAGAATCGGGGGGGTCCAGGAGAACCGGGGTGTCCGGGAGGTTCCGGGCGTTCCTGGGGACTCTGCGGTGGCTCCCGGGGGGGCTCCAGGGGATCTGGGAGCCCCCATGGGGGTCTGGAGGGTCCAGGGGCTCTGGGGCACCGCCAGCCCCGAGTTGGGATGTGTGCAGATGCCGATGGGGCCAGGGCAGGAGCGGCCCCACAGGAACCCCCCAGCCCCGGAGAGGGAGGTTTTGGGGCGCTTTTGGGGTTCTGCGCTCCCGGGAGCTGCAATTCCCAGGGATGCGCTGCCCAGGGGTGGGACGGGACGGGACGGGATGGGACGGGACGGGACGGGACGGGACGGGATGGGATCTGTGGGATAGGATCTGTGGGATGGGATGGGATGGGACGGGACGGGACGGGACGGGACGGGACGGGACGGGATCTGTGGGATGGGATGGGATGGGATGGGATCTGTGGGATGGGATGGTCACGGTGGCCCCGGGACAGCATCCAGCCACCCAAACCCCTCCTTGACGCCGTCCCCGTTTGCCCGCAGCCCTTCTGTGACGGTGCCCACAAGAAGGAGGCGCCGGGGCTGTCCTCGCTGCGCTTCACCCCGTCCCGAAGCGGCCCCGCGCTGCTCTGCGGCTGCAAACGCACCCGGAGCCCCCCGTACTGCGACGGCTCCCACCGGGGGCACGAGGTGCAGGCGGCGCCTGAGCGGGGCTCGGCAGCTCCGGGATGCCCATCCTGACCCCGGCACGGCCGCACGGCGGGAGGACAGGCTCCAAACCCCAATGAAACCCTAATTCCGGAGCGCCGGGAGCCGCCCCCGCTGCAGGGATTCGCCTCCCGACCCCAAATCAGCCTCTGGATAATGGGGTTGGTGGGAGGGACCCCAAATCAGCCTCTGGATAATGGGGTTGGTGGGAGGGACCCCAAATCAGCCTCTGGATAATGGGGTTGGGGAGGGGCCTGTGGGAGCTGTGGAGTTTGGCAGGAGGGATCCGTGGGATTTGGGCTCTGTGGGATCTGTGGGATTTGGGATGGAGATACCAATGGGATTTGGCAAGAGGCTCTGTGGGATTCGGGCTCTGTGGGATCTCTCAGGAGGCTCTGTGGGATCTCTCAGTAGGCTCTGTGGGATTCGGGCTCTGTGGGATCAATCAGGAAGCTCTGTGGGATTTGGGCTCTGTGGGATCTGTGGGATTTGGGATGGAGATACCAATGGGATTTGGCAAGAGGCTCTGTGGGATTCGGGCTCTGTGGGATCTCTCAGGAGGCTCTGTGGGATTCGGGATCTGTGGGATCTCTCAGGAAGCTCTGGGCAGCCACCCTTGTGGTGTTTGTTCATTTCCAAAGCTGGACCCGAGGTTTGCAAAGGTTGAACCCTAGAGATTGAGACTGGGATCATTCCCAGAGACTGGGATAATTTCCAGGACAATAAACAGGGTCTGAACACACGGAGCGGTCTGGGATGTACTGAGAGGAAAACCCGACACCAAAACACCCCCGAGCCCAAACCTGAACCCCAGCCCAAACCCAAATCATGCCCTGCCCAGCCCAGACAGTGTGCCCAGGCCAGGCAATGGTTGGACACAGGAATTGCTGAATTCCAAACAGGAATTGTTGAATTCCGTGGAGAAATTTTAATTCCATGCAGGAATTGCTAAATTCCGTGCAGGATTTGCTAAATTCCATGCAGGAATCATTTAATTCACTGCAGGAATTGTTGAATTCCCTGCAGGAATTGTTGAATTCCACAGAGGAATTGCTGAATTCCACACAGGAATTGCTGAATTCCCTGCAGGAATTTGCTCCCTTCCCACGCTCACCCCTCTCGGGAGCCTCCTGGCCAAAGGCGCCGAAATCTGATTTTTATTTTTATGTTCTTTTATTCCAAACGCACCATGGGGGCAGGAGGAGAGGCTGGGAAGGGCAAGACACCAAAAATAAAAAAATTCGGGATCATGGGAAGCAGGGAGCAGCTCCATCCCAACCTTTGGGTGCCCCCAAACTTCCCTGGAGCCATCAGGACCTCGGGAAGAGAAAATATTTCGGGGGATTTGTGCTGCTACCACCAAGTTGGAGGAAAATACCCCCAAAACCCCCCAAATTTACTGTGCAGAAGGGCAAAGCCCGCAGGGAACACAAATCCCCCAGAAAACACCCAGGATGAGATCCAGGGACAGCTGGAGCTGCTGGAGCCGGCAGCTCCGGGCTGGGGTGTGAATCCCCAGAAAAAAAACCCAAAATGGGAAATAAAACCCTAGAGCAGAGCCCAGGGAGGCTGAGGAGGGGTTTGGGGTTTTGGGATTGTTTGGGTTTTGGGGGTTTTTGGGGTTTTGGGTTCTGTGCTTGGCCCTCACCTGTGCAGCCACGACCCTGGTGGGGAGGGAGGAGGAGGAAGAGGAGGAGGAGAAGGAAAAACCTCTGGGAAAAGCAGGAATGTGGGAATGGGGGAATGCAGGAATTTGGGAATTTATGAATTTGGGAATGCAGGAATTTGGGAACATGGGAATGTTGGAATTTGGGAATTTGGGGATCTGGCAGCTCCCAGCTCCAGGGGCAGGATGAGGTGGGGGGGGCCTGAAGCTTCCATGAATCAAACCCAGACCTCAACCCCCCCAAAAAAAACCCAAAACCAAACAAAAACCCACCCAAAACCAACCCAAAGCACATTTAAAAATATCCGCCGCCATTTCTGCGTCTTCTCCGAGTTTTTAAATTAGAAAATAATTCCGTAGAACTCTGCTCTGTCCCTATGTACACACCCACATTTATAGAGGTCTGCAAGGGGTTTCAGGAATTCCAGGAGGGGTTTTAGGAATCCCAGGAGGGTTTTGAGCAGTCCCTGGAGGGTCTGCAGCATTTCCAGGAGGATTTTTAGCAGTTCCAGGAGGACTTTTAGCAGCCCCTGCAGGGTTTTTCGGAGTCCCTGGAGGGGTTGTAGGACTCCCAGGAAGAATTTTTGGAGTCCCAGGAGGATTTTCTGAGCCCCAGGATGACTTTTCAGAGCCCCAGGATGACTTTCCAGAGTCCCAGGAAGATTTTTTGGAATCCCGGGAAGATTTTCCGGAGTCCCAGGAAGATTTTTTGGAGTACCAGGAGGATTTTCCGGAGTCCCAGGAGGATTTTTTGGAGTACCAGGAGGACTTTCCGGAGTCCCAGGAGGATTTTTCAGAGTCCCAGGAGGGTTTCCAGCAGCCCCCGGAGGTTTTTAGCTCGGGGCCGAGCCCGCGCTGCCGTTCAGGGCGGTTTTGCGGCCGCGGGCAGGTGGCAGCGGGTGACAGCCGGCTGGCAGCGGGTGACAGTTCGAGGCCGAGCCGTTGAGGGCGGGCCCGGGGGGGCCGTGGCCGGGGCCGGGCAGGGCGGGGGGCGATGCCAGCCCGGGGCTCTGCGCTTTGTCGCTGCCCGACTCGCACTCGGAGGCGCCGCTGGTGTTGGTGCCCTCGGAGGGCAGCACCGGGCACAGCTTGAGCCGCTTGCAGGAGGGCTGCACGCGGTACTTGAGGGCCAGGGGACCGGTCTGGGGACACGGGGACACCGGCACTGCCACCACCCATCCCCCGGGGACGCCGGCGCTGCCGCCCCCCTCCCACCGGGGAACCCGAAAATCCCGCCCGGAGCAAACGCCCCTGTCAGGAAAATCCCCCCCGCTCTGGGATTTGTTATGGGAAAAGCTCCCCCAGGACAGATTTTCCCTCTTTTCCCCAAGGACAGATTTTTCCAGGACAGATATTCCCTGTTTTATCCCCCCAAAACCAGATTTTCCCAGTTTCTCCCAGCACAGATATTCGCACTTTCCCCAGGACAAATTTCCCAATATTCCCAGCCCAGATACACCCAGTTTCTCCTGGGACAGATTTTTCCCACTTTTCCCAGTATAGATATTCCCAGTTTTGCCCCTCAAGGGACAGGCTTTCCCAGTATTCCCAGCACAGCTTTTCCCTGTTTCCCTGTTTCCTCACCCTCCTCCAGGGGTAGATGTAGGCGATGTCCATCAGGGTGTAATATTCCTTCAGGGGCTCGTCCTCATACAGCACCTCCACCTGGAGATGGGAAAGGAGGGATCCAAACCCCGGGAAAGGAGGGATCCAGACCCCGGGAAAGGAGGGATCCAAACCCCGGGAAAGGAGGGATCCAAACCCCAGGAAAGGAGGGATCCAAACCCCGGGAAAGGAGGGATCCAAACCCCGGGAAAGGAGGGATCCAAACCCCGGGAAAGGAGGGATCCAGACTCAGGAGAAGGATGGATCTGGCCATGGGAAAAGGAAGGCCCCAGCCCCAGGGAAGGGACAGCCCAGCAGGAATATTTGGGACAAGCAGGGATCAGCAGTGGATGCAACACGGGATGGCCAAAACGGCCCCTCTGAGCCAAGCTGAGCACGGCAGAACCTGGGCAGTGCCCCCCGAGCACTCCCAAACATTCTGGAGCATTCCCACCCATTCCCAGCCAGCCATTCCGGAGCCCTCCTGAGCGCTGCTCACTCGGTACTTGCTGGGCACGTCCATCTTGTTGCGCAGGAACTTGGCCAGGTGCAGCACGGTCATGGCCGCGGGGCAGCGCAGGAACCGCAGCCCGGGGCTCGGCGGGCACGGTGGCGCCTGGGGAGGGACGGCTTTGGGGGCACCCGGCTTTGGGGTGTCCCACCTTTGGGGTGGCCTGGATTTGGGGTGTCCCAGGGACTGGGGAGTCCCAGGTTTGGGGTATCCGGGATTTGGGGTATCCCGGGTTTGGGGAGTCCCAGGTTTAGGGTGTCCCCCTGTGCCCCTCAGGACTCCCCCAAGGCAGCTGAGCACTGAGGGCTCTGTGCCACCACAGTGCCACCACAGTGCCACCGCAGTGCCACCCCTTGCTCACCTTGTCCTTGTCCAGGTCCCCATTCTCCACGGCGCCTTTCTGGTCCTCCCTGGGGAGGGACATGGGACAGGGATTGGGGAAAGGAGAGGCAAAAACCCCAGGAGAGGGAAACACCTGGGTCCCCCTGGATCCCTCTGGATCCCTCTGGAATGCTGCTCCAGGCACCAGAGACATCCCCATCCTCGGGCTGTAGCGGAGCCCCGGGCGGTACCTGAGCCCAGTTGGTACCAGAGCCCAGCTGTACTAGAGCCCCGGGCGGTACCGGCGCCCGCCGTACCTGCAGTCCCGGTGGAACTCGATGGACAGACTGACGATCTCGTCCTCGGGCCCCGCGCCCTGGTCCCGCTCGGCCACCTCGCCACGCTCCTCCTGCGAGCCCAGGGGAACTGCGGGAGAGTGACAGGGCTGGGGAGGGACCAGGCTGGGACACTGGGACACTGGGACATTGACACTGTGACACTGACACTGTGACACTGACAGTGTGACACTGACACTGACACCGTGACATTGACACTGACACTGTGACACTGACACTGTGACACTGACACTGACAGTGTGACATTGACACTGACCCTGTGACATTGACACTGACACTGTGACACTGACACTGTGACACTGACACTGACACTGTGACATTGACACTGACACTGTGACACTGACACTGTGACATTGACACTGACAGTGTGACATTGACACTGTGACATTGACAGTTTGACACTGTGACATTGACACTGATACTGTGACACTGACACTGATACTGTGACATTGACACTGACACTGTGACACTGACACTGACACTGTGACACTGACAGTTTGACCCTGTGACATTGCCAGTGTGACACTGACACTGTGACCCTGTGACATGTGACACTCACCCTCGGCCACCGGGTACGCAGCGTAGAAGTCACGCCTCCTCTTCATCTCATCTGTGGGGATGGGGAAAGGGACGGGGACAGGGACAGGGACATGAGTGGGGACAGCGCCACAGCTGGGGGGCGACAGCAAGAGGGCACAGGGGACACCCCAGAATGCCCAGGGAATTCCCAGCATGAACAATCCCATAAATCCCGCAGTGGCGCCCAATCCTGAGGGATTTTGGGTCCCCACACCCCAAATCCAGAACTTTTCTCCATTCCTGAGGTGCTTGGAGCAAATCCACAGCTCCTGCTCCAGGATTGTCCCAAAATCTGGGATGGGCGCCGTGTCCATGTGTCCTGCTGTCCCCGTGGGAATGGGAAATCCCTGGGAAGATCCCGGGAGTTCAGGGGGATGGGAGTGAGTTACAAATTCCCAAATTCCCAAATTCTCCCCATCCTTGGCTGCACCTTTGAAAAGCCCTGGCACCAGCTTGTACACGATGTCCTGGAGAGTTTTGTCTGACCTGGAGTGAGGGAAACAGGAAAAGTGGGAGAAATCAGCGGGATTTGGGAACAGTTTGTGTCCTGCACTTTGGGGCCTCTGCTTCCCCCAGCTCCCCTCTGGAAAATTCCCATACCAAACCCCAAATTCCTAATTCCCCATCCCAAATCCCCCAAACCCCAAATCCCTAATTCCCCATCCAAAGCCTCAAATCTCCAATCCTCCATCCCAAATCCCGAAATCCCCAGTTCCCCATCCCAAATCCCCAAAACCCCAGTTACCCATCCCAAATCGCCAGTTCCTCATCCCAAAGCCTCAAATCTCCAAGTTTTTCCAGTTTTTCCCCATGGTTTTCCCAGTTTCTCCCAGTTTTTCCCACATTTTTTCCCCACATTGGGACCAAGTGGAGGTGCCACCACCCCGCAGGGCTCGGGGACAGCGATGGCTCCGTCCCCGCAGGCAGAGCTGGAGATTCCTTAGGAGCCGTGGGAGTGTAAATATTTCATAGCGAGCCAGAAAAAATGGGGGGAAAAGGGGGGAAAGGGCAGAAAAATTGTTACTACAGAAAGAGAGAAAAGGTGAAAAAAACCCGGGAAGGAAACCCGCTGGGCATGGATCAAAGCCTGGTGTGGTTTCCACGGCAACCGATTCCACAGCTGGGATGGATTTCCCTAGAGCTGGAGTTGTGCGTGGGCACCGTGTCACCTGTGGGGACCTGGCGGTGCCACCAGGGCTCAGGATGGATGGATGATGGATGGATGGATGATGGATGATGGATGGATGGATGGATGATGGATGGATGATGGATGGATGATGGATGGATGGATGGATGGATGGATGGATGGATGGATGGATGGATGGATGATGGATGATGGATGGATGATGGATGGATGGATGGATTATGGATGGATGGATGGATGGATGGATGGATGGATGGATGGATGGATGGAGGGATGGATGATGGATGGATGGATGGATGATGGATGGATAGATGATGGATGGATTATGGATGGATGGATGGATGGATGGATGGATGGATGGATGGATGGATGATGGATGATGGATGGATGATGGATGGATGGATGGGGCCACCCCTGGGACCAGGACGGGGCTGCTCCTGGGCTGGCAGCAGAGCCCCAGGGTCTCTGTGCTCCAGGTGCTCAGGGCTGTCCTCTGGAGCAGGGACAGGGCATGAGGGGCCCCCTGAGCTCCCTGAGCTTCCCAGTACCCTGAGCTCCCTGAGCCCCCTAAACCCCCTGAAGCCCCCCAAGCTCCCTGCGCCCCCTGAGACTCCTAAGCCCCAAAAGGCCCCGAACCCCCTGAGTCTCCTGAGCCCCCTGAGCCCCCCGAGCCCCCCAGGGCTCACCGGATGCTGAGCAGGGGCCGGGTTTTGTGCACCTGCACGTCGCACATGGGGCAGTACTTGTTGGTCTCCAGGTAACGAACAATGCAGGTTTTACAGACTGTGGGGACAGAGGGACCCTCTGTGAGCTGGGGGACAAGGGGACAGAGCCCCTGGGACCCCCACACCAGCCTGGGCACATGCTTGGGAACAAAACCCTTGCCCATTGCAGTCCCCGGCAGCTCCACGGGGCAGCACGGCCGGGCACAGGTGGGCACTGTGGGAGGGGTCACTGCGGGGTTTTGGGGCACCCAGGGGATCCTTGGGGACACCGGGACACTCACAGGAGTGCAGGCACTCCACGATGGTGGTGGCGTCGATGAAGTAGCCGCCGCAGAGGGCGCACATCAGGTGTGGGTTCAGCTCCGTGATCTTTATCCGGGTGGTCCTGTGCATCTTGGAGCAGCCCCCGGGCGGATCCTCCCTGCGGGAAACCCCCGCCCTCCCCTTGGATGGGACCCGCAGGGACCGCTGGAGGGGACACGGTGGGGACTGTCACTTGTCACTCCCAGCCTTGCAGCCAGCCCCGGCTCCAGGAGCTGCCCAGCCCCCTCTGCCTCAGCCCTGGGTGGCCCTGGGTGTCCCCAGCTGGGTCCCCAACACGCTGGGACGCCTCTGAGAAGAGGCAAATCCCACCTGTGGCTGTGCACACACCCCCAAAAAAGTGCATTTTGGGTTGGTTCCACGGAAAAGGCATTTCCAGCCAAAATTTTATGGATTTTCCTACAGAAAATCCCCAAGCCCGGTGTCGGGGACTTCCCCCGGGCAGGGACACCCAGCGGGGTTCGGTGGGCACGGCGGGCGCGGGTGGCACCGGGAGCCGCCGCCTCCCGCTCCGGAGCTTCCCCGGTTCCAGCGGGATCGCCGCAGTTTCGTTGTTTCCATGGCAACCCCGACACTTGGAGAGCAGCCGGGATATTGTCGCTGCCACCCGAGGCCAGGCGACAGGCGACGAGGAGCCCCAGGGTGGTGGAGATGAGCGGGACACGGCGGCAGGGCCGGAGCACCGGCGGTGGGGACACGCGTGTGACACACGGGGACACAGAGAGGGACACAGTGACAGACGTATGAAACGCAGGGACACGTGTGACACGCAGGGACACAGGCAGGGACACAGGGACACACGTGTGACATGCAGGCACACGAGGGGACACACATATTACACGCAGGGACACGTATGGGCTACAGTACACATGCATAGGGACACCCGGGCCAGGGGTGGGGACACTGCTGGGATGTTTCAGGGACAGGATGTCATTGAGACTGGGACTGGGGTGCCACAGGGACAGGGACACCATTGGGATGGGGATGGAGGTGCCACAAGGATGGGAAGGAACACTGCTGGGACTGGGATGGGGACACTGCTGGGACTGGGATGGGGACACTGCTGGGACTGGGATGGGGACACGACAGGGATGGGGACACTGCTGGGACTGGGATGGGGACACTGCTGGGACTGGGATGGGGACACCACAGGGATGGGGACACTGCTGTGCTGGAGGGGCAGCAGCCAAGGGGGGCTCAGGAGCCCCAGAACCCCCTCCCAGCCTACCCCCGGCTGCTGCCCCCCGCCCCAGGGGATGGAGGGGGGTCCTGCCAGCCCCTCCCCGTCTCGGGGGTCCCGCGGTGCCCTGTCCCCGTCCTCCCCGCCCGGGACCGGGCAGCCCCGCCGGGCACCGGGGAGCCACGGCTACATTTTGGGGAGGATTTCGCCGCTTTCGGCGCTCGCAGCCGCCAATGGCGGCCCCGGGGCTCGGCGGGAGGGGGGAGCCCGAGCCGCCGGCGCGAACCGGTTCTAATAAACCGGGTGATAAGGGCCGCGGCTTCCCGTGCCGGGGACGGGGGGGAACAAAGCCCCGGCGCCCCGGAGCCTCCCGGAACCCCGGCCCCGCCGCAGCCCCCGGGGCCGTCCCGTCCCGCCGGTGGCTCCCGCACCCCCGGCCGCGACTTTCGGGCTCTTTTGTCTCCGTGGGCGGTGTCCCGGCGCAGTGTCCCCCCCTCCGAAACGCCCCGGGCCGGGCACGGGCGGGGAAGGGCGTTTCAAAGTCACCGCCAACTCGGGCCCCCGCCCGCGGGATCCCCGGCGGCGGCGGCGGGCGCGGGGCTCGGGAAATGACCCGGGACGGCTCTCCCGGCACGGCCCGGGCCTCCCACGGCGCCCACGGGGCCCGGAGCGCCGGGAACGCGAGGGGACAGCCCCGGAGCGCGGCCCCGCCACCCCCGGCAGCGCCCGCCGGGCCCCCCCCGCCGCTCCCGGGGTGCGGGACGCGGCACCGGAGCTGCGGGCATGGGGGAGGGAGCCCCGCAGGACACGAGGGACCACCAAGCGTGTGGGGACAAGGACACGCTCACACGGCACCGGGAGCGGCGGCGGGACGGGAGCGCGGGGCGTGACACCCGGGGGACACGGACACACGGCGGGGATCAGACACGGGGGGACAAGGATACCGGGGGGGACAGGGACAGCGGGGGTACCGGGCACGGGATGGCCACGGACACCCGGGGGACACGGAACCCGGGGGGAGCAGAGACACCGGGGGGGACACGGACACCCGGGGGACACGGACACCGGGGGGGACACGGACACCGGGGGGGACACGGACACCGGGGGAACACGGACACACGGGGGACACGGACACACGGGGGACACGGCCGCGGGGTGGCCTCGGCCCCGCGCGGTGCCCGGGGCTGCCTCGTTTCTCCCGCGGGGGGGACACGGACACCCGGGGGACACGGACACCGGGGGGGACACGGACACCGGGGGGGACACGGACACCGGGGGAACACGGACACACGGGGGACACGGACACACGGGGGACACGGCCGCGGGGTGGCCTCGGCCCCGCGCGGTGCCCGGGGCTGCCTCGTTTCTCCCGCGGCAGCTCCCGCCGCCTCCGGCGATGGGGCCGGGGGTGGGGCGGCCCCGGTGGCCCCGGGGCGTCCCCTTTGTACTCGGGGCCGGCTGTCAGCGCGGCCCGGCCCCTCCGCCCGCCCCGGGGGGGTCCCGCCGCGCCCCCCCGGCCCCGCAGCGGCCCCTTCCTTCCTCCTCCTTTTTTGTTTTTTTGTTGGTTTTTTTTTTTTTTATTTTATTATTATTTTTGCCTCATTTTTAATTTTTTTTTCCCACCTCCAGACGCCGCCAGGCCCCGCCCGCCTCACGTGACCTCATTCCTTTGGGGGGCTGCGGAGGAGGGGAGCGAGGGGCCGAGATTGGGGGGACCCCCCCGGAACCCCCCAGCCCCGGTGATCACGGAGACCCCCGGGGGGGAAACGAGAACTCCCCCAAAACCGCCGGAATGGCCCCAAAATGCGGTCCCCGGTGGAAGCTCCGGGCGCGGTGTTCCCGCCATCGGGGACCCCGTTTTGGCCCCAGATTGTGACCCGGGACGAGCGGGACCCTCTGCGGGACCCTCGGGGGAAGGAAAGGGAAGAGGGGGGGAAAGAAAGAAAAAAAAAAAAAAGAAATAGAGGGAATTTCAAGAGGGAAAATGATGGAAAATTGGAGGGCGGGGAAGGAAAAAAAAGGGGGAAAATAGGAAAAAAATAGGGGGAAATGGAAGAAAGAAAAGGAAAAGGGAAAATGAGAGGGGGGAAAGGGAAGGAAAAAAAAAAGAACGGGAAGAAAAATAGAGGGTAATTGAGAAAAGGAAAAAATGGAAAAGAAGGAGGGAAAATGAAGGAAAACAGGAAAATTAGAAAAACGGGGGAAATGAACAAGAAGGGGGGGGGAAAGGAAAGTGAAAAAACCAAGGAAAACAAAAATTAGGGGGGAAAAAAGGGAGAACGGGAAAATCGAGGGTAAAGGAATGAAAAAAGGAAGGTAAGGAAAAACGGAGGGAAATTAGAGAAAGATGGAAAACAACGGGGAGAAGGAAGGGAAGAAAACTGATGGGAAATGAGAGAAAAAAAAAAACGAAAAGGAAGAAAAAAGAACAGGAGAAAAGGCAAGGAAAAAAGAAGGAAGAACAGAAAGGAGGAAGAGAAAAAAAGCAGGAAAAAAGAAGATTGGAGAAAAAAAAAGAAAAAAAGGAGAAGTCGGGAAGGAAATAAAGGAGGGGGAAAGGGGCAGGAGGAGGAGCGGGAGGCGCTGAGGGAGCGCGGCCCCGCACTCCCGGGATTACCGGCGGTCCCTGCACTCCCGGGATTACCGGCGGTCCCCGCACGCCGGGATTACCGGCGGTCCCTGCACTCCCGGGATTACCGGCTGCTCCCGCACTCCCGGGATTACCGGTGGTCCCTGCACTCCCGGGATTACCGGCGGTCCCCGCCCCGCCCGCTGCCGGCGCTCGCAGCCCGGTCCCGTCCCGCTGTCCGTGCCCGGGGGTTCCCGGTGAGCCGCTGTCCGTGCCGCTGTCTCGGTTCACGGGGTCGGTGCCTGCTGGAGCCGTTGCCGGTGCCGGTGTCCGGTAGCCCCGGTTCCGGTGTCACGTTTCCCTGTGCTTGTGGCCCGTGTCCGGTGTCCCGTTCCCGGTGTCCGTTGCCGGTGCCTGTCCCCGTTCCCCGTTCCCGCTGTCCTGTTCCCGGTATCCTGTTCCCGTATCCCTTTCCCTGTGTCCCGTTCCCTTTCCCGGTATTCCCGGTGTCCCGTTCCCGGTATTCCCGGTGTCCCGCTCCCGTTTCCGGTGTCACGGTATTCCCGGTGTCCCGTTCCCAGTGTTCTTTTCCCGGTATTCCCGATGTCCCGTTCCCGGTGTCCCATTCCCTTTCCCGGTGTTCTCTCTGTCCCCTTCCCAGTATTCCCGGTATTCCTGCTGTCCCATTCCCGGCATTCCCAGTATTCCCAGTGTCCCATTCCCAGTATTCCCGTTATTCTCGGTGTCCCATTCCCGGCATTCCCGGTATTCCCGGTATTCCCGGTGTCCCGTTCCCGGTGTTCCCGGCGTTCCCGGCTCTCCCGCTCCCGTTCCCGCGCCGAGTGCCGCGTGTGCGGGGCGCTTTCAGCGCAGTCTCTGTGGCGCAATCGGTTAGCGCGTTCGGCTGTTAACCGAAAGGTTGGTGGTTCGAGCCCACCCAGGGACGGAGCCGCTTCTTTTGCCGCCGCCGCTTCTGTTCCCTCTTTTCCCGGTGCCAGCCCCGGGGAGCGGCCCGGGGTGGACGGAACCGGACACGGAGAACGTGCCGGGGGCAGGGATCCACTCCCGGTGCTGCCTGCAAGGCGGAGCAGCGGCTCCAGCTGTGCTCCCACGAGGAGGTTTTGGGACATTAAAATCGCAGCTGAAACCGTGTTTCCATCCAAATCCTGAATTTTGCCTCAAAATTTAGCTGAGGGGGCCCCCAAGGCTGCCAGACCGAGATTCCACTCTCTGAAAACTCCTGTAAATTCCATTTCTGCGCCCTGAGATGATGGAATTCCCAAAACTCCGGAATTCCCAGAACTCCGGAATTCCTGTTTCACCCCGGCACGAGGCCACGCTGGGATCGATCCCCGGGATACCCCCGGCTCTGCCGGGACTGTTCCCACCGGACTTCGGCTCCTGCCAGGAAACTTTTGTGCCGGAAAACCCCTCAAAAATGCACTTCAAAAATAGGATTTAAAAACAGGATATAAAAATGGGATTTAAAAATAGGATTTAAAAAGAGGATCTGACAGCAGCGTGAGCCCGGCCCGGCTCTGCCTGCGCGTCGGGACCTGCCGTGACCCCGGAGGGACCTCGCAGAGTGACCCCAGCCCCCCGTGCCGGCGCTTCCCGAGGAGATTTTTGGGAGAATTCCCTTTGGATGGGCGAGCTCGGGGCTGTGTCCGCGCCCCGGAGATGCGGCCGTTCTCCCGACGGATCCAGCTGTGCCCCCATTCATCCAGCTGTGCCCCCATTCATCCAGCCCTGCCCGATCCAGCTGTGCCCCATTCATCCAGCTGTGCCCCCCCCAGATCCAGCTGTGCACCGCTGATCCAGCCGGGTCCCACCC